CATGTTTGATGGTATCAACTATGCCAGAAGGAAACTGAATTTCAGCCAGATACAGGAAAAATTGTAAGCAGTTGGGTCACCTTCTGCCAGGCAGTCCCTAATATGATATTCAACCAAAAGAAATTTGCCCTTAGTCTGTACTTACACAGAACTGCAAAAATATTAAACAGGCAGTCCATATGCCATATAGACTTCCTACTATAACAAGCCTCTTTTTTATAATAGAACTAAAAAAAAAGAAGAGAGGGAGAAAAAAACGAAAAGGAAATTATTTTAAAAGCAGTCCCTGAGATGCCCGGGGTATTGTTAGGATTATGCACAGCAGTGATTCACATATTTTTTTTCATAACAAGGGCCTTGTATGAAAAGCAAAATCATCCTGTGAACTGAGACCACATCCATTTATAATTCCAATTTCTAAATTGGCAAATACGAAGCTGGTTAAAGCAAAATTAGGAAAGAACTTATGTATATTGTTTTTGTGTTTTGTAATGTGTTGCCATGGACAGTAAGAGATTAAATGATACAGTTTATTAAAAGAAAATGTCCATAGTCTAACCTGGTTCACCAGATAAATTTCTCTTTTCTTAGACATTCTCAATCACTTTTTGCTATTTTTTAAGCTATACATATATTTGCTGTATTCATGCTATATATTTGCTTTGCCATAAAATAATTTGTTCTAGTCAGTTATATGGGTTGTGGTAAGGCAAGAAGCTTTATAGTGAATAACTCTCCATTCTAAATACTCTGCAGTGAAGCTGACAGGGACTACTCACTGAAAGGGAAAACATTCATGAATCAAATAAAGTATTTACTTAAAGAGTAAGTTCCTATTACTAAGTCTAATGACCCAAAAGCAGAGCCAGGTTTCAGGTCAGTATTAAACTATATCCTGAACAAAAAAAAAGTGAAGTGTTCCTGAATACACTCAGATCCCTTCTTTTGGAACATATTTGTTAAATCTGTTACTTGCATGCTCCAAATACTTTGAAATAATGTACCAAAGCCTAGAAATGGAGGTAGTCAGGAGAGGGAGAGCTTTCAAGTATTTCAAGTATTGAATCCTCTTTGTTGAAGCAACTTGGAGCTGAGGTTTTCTTCCATTTTCAGACATACTTACGTTTTCCCATTTTTCCATTTGTGCTCCATTTCTGTAAGTCTCTAGGGCTAGAAGGAGGTTTCGATTTCAGACAAAGAAGAAATTGAATTTTTACCCAAAGAGAGATGCTTAGCTTTATTCCATCAAGGAGTTTTTCTTTTCTTTTTAATTTTCTTTTCTTTTTTCTCTTTCTTTTTGAAGGAAGAGAGAGAGAGAGAGGGAGAGTAGGAAACCTCATTGGAACAGTCAAAATGAAACATGAGGACTTTTTCCCTAGACATAAGAATTTTTTTTTTAAAAGCTAATGTTTTCTTTGTTTTCTAATTTTCAGCCATTTTAACCTTAATTTTTCCTTAATGTACCTAATACATTCTAAAAATAGTTTTTGCGTGGTTCTCTTTTAGTATTCCTAAACGATCATAAAACCCATAATACAATGTGGTTACTGAAAAATTAGAATCAGATTGTTCAAACCCCTTCTTTTAATAATATTGCCCAACCATGATAAGAGAATCTTCCAAACATATGTAAAAGACACTTAGAGGAATGGCCATATGGACTGAGAAACGTCTTATCAATGCAATAATAAGCCAAAGATAGACACACAACGTTGACATTTAGAGCAGTGACTTAAACAAAGGATACAAGAAGACAAGGCTGCTAAAAACTAACCACAAAAGAATCAATCAACCCTGTCACCTCACCTCCTCATTATATTACCAAACGAGGGGATGTGTTAGTATAATTCTATGACTAAAACTTTTCATTGGAGCTAGAAAAGGGAGAGGTTACTAAGCATAATCTTAGTATTTGATTATTAGTAAAGATTCCATTTTGCTGTAGTCTACTTTGAATTTTGTTTTCTAGGTTCACACTACTTTTGGCTATATTTCAGGTAATATAGAGCTGCTTGTGTTAGCCATGTCTTGGCTAAGAACTAAGCTAGGAGTACAGCCTACTGATTTTGACTGAAATTGCAACATAAGTAACTAGAACTTTCCTAGCTCAAGTTGAGTAATTTCTGTTTTTCTTTTCATACTTAAAAATAAAACAGTATATTTCCTCCTTCAGTTGTTGTCGGGGGAGGGAGGGGTCCTCATTGCAGTGAAAACTAGCATTTACACCTACAGCCATCAAGACACATTGGGATTTGTCATACATGGGTGCATTTTGAAGTCAAAGGGGTTACACCCATTTGTCTCACTGTAACTGGAATGTGATAATCTAAGACTATGTTACCAATATACTGTGTAATATACATAACATCAATTAACTGGTTGCCTTTAATAAGTACATTTCCATAAACCAACTCTTAGTGCACTTTTATTTTGTGGTGCAGCAAAGCTTTCTATGAAAGCTCATGTCTCTGTGAACAAATGAACCTATAAAGTGCCACACTGCCCTGTCTTCAACTTAAGGCTTCTTATCAGTTGGGACAGTTTTTTACAAGAGCTCTCTCTCTCAGTTTTGAAAGATGGAAGCTTGTTCTTCCCTTCATCATTACAGTCCAAGCCACATATAATAGACTGGTTTCAGAATCAGAAGAATATCTGATATGAAAAAGGGTTATCGATTCTACTAGCACATCTCAAATTTGAGATAGACACATTACTGATATAGTCATTACTGGGTGAGTAGCGTCTCCGAAGCCAGGTCAAATTTTAGGCTGCTGAATGAGGTCCTCTGAATAACAATGCAATTTTAGTTTAACCTAATTTTAATTAAAAAGGTAAAAGTGTGCTTTAATGGATTCCTTCCCTTCTCCCACCTCAATTAACTAGATTTCAGTGAGGTGTTGATTAAATTTACAATAAAAAAGTTTTTATAGTATCTTCAAATCCTGCACTGCCAGACAACCTTCACAGATGGGCAGTAAAGGCACTGATTTTATCATAGGTGTATATATTTTTCATTCCTTAGGGGGGAAAATGCCTATATTGGCAGGCATTTTAAAGGCAGTTACTTAATTAACTGATCCTTGAGACCAGCAGTATCGATGTTGATCTCTAGATAGCTGGAGAGTCATTGCTCTACATCAGGGGCAGGCAATTATTTTGGCTAGAGGGCCACTTATTTAGTTTTGGTGAACTGTTGAGAGCTGCAAGGATAGCCCTGCCCCTTGACAGGTGTCCCACCCCCTCGTTGCCATCTTGGGACTGGAAGTCCCACCCCTGACACCTGACCTTTGCCTGGGATTGTCTCTCCCCTTGCCCCCAGAAGTACTCCTTTTGGAAGGGGTGTTACCAACTTGGAACCAGAAATAAAACAAATCATATAAACATCTACTATAACATATTTTAATTTTACTTCAAATAATATTTTTGTTATGATTTGTGTTTGTGTAGTGTATATAGAGATAGTTGCATAATAGCTGAAAAATAAAGTCTTACTCTTGTATATTGTGGGTGGGGGAGTGTGTGGGTTGTGGTGAGGGTATGGGTGTGTGTGTATGGTGGGGTGTGGGGGTTGTGTGGTGGGTTTGTGAAGGGGTGGCTGTGTGGGGAGGTGTAGGGTATGTTGTGGGCTATGTGTATATGTGGGAACGTTGTGGGGGAAGGGTGTGGGTGTGTGGGGTTTGAGGAAGGGTGAGGGGGTGTGGGGACCCCCTCACATACCCCCCTCATGGTAAAAAGCCCCCACAAGTGATAACAGTAGCAGTAGGTGGTGGGCCCTCAGGGTGCTTGGGGCCCACACAGGTGCTATGCCCATCAGCACATGACTCTGGCCAGTTCCAGGAGCTACACACGGTGGCAAGGAGCGGAGCCAGACTGGCCTGCCTCTATTGCATGGGGCTCCCCATGGTGCACATGCAGCTCCTTGCACTCATGTGCCACTGGGGCGGGGGGCAGCCGCATGCGATATAGCCAGCTGCCTTCCCCACTCCATGCCACCATGGGCAGCTCCTGGGACTCTGCTGGGTAACAGGGGGTGGGGCTCCTGTCCACTTCCATTGGAGTCTCAGGAGCTGCATGTGGCATCAGGGAGCATCCCTATCTGCTGCCTGGAGTGAGTGCTGCAGCAGGGACACAGGATGAGCCAGTGGAGGCCAAGGAAGTTGAACAGGTCCCCCAGCTGCTGCAGCAATGATAGCAGCATCTGCACCCAGAAGCTGTGTGCTGGTTGGGCCGGGCACTTCCATGCACAAGGGTGGGAGCAAGGCGCATAAGGGTGGACAGGGTCTTCATTGGTGGGTGCCCACAAGCCAGATAAAATTGTCTAGTGGGCTGGATACAGCCCATGGGTCTTATTTTGCCAACTCCTGTGCTAGATAAATCAAACATATTACTTATAGAAGGTTTGTATCTGTCTACTCTATTTCACTGAGTTATATTTCTCTAAATATTTTTGAATAAATACATGAACAAGCATGCAAAGCAAATAATTTTAGAAACTAAACACATTCCCACTGGAAAGGACTTTCTCGGCTTTAAGCTACTGGATATCAGTTAGATAGCTAGCTTTCCACCTGCTCTAATAGATAAGGCAACCATTCATCTCTTTGTATGCGGCAGAACATCAGTACAGGCATGATGTCTATTCTAATATGGACAATATTACCACTCTGGGAATCTGATCATCATGCACACTAGCTTCAAAAAGGCATGTCCATAAAGTGTCTCAAAGGTGCAGGGAAAAGCATACCATTAACCATGGATGTCAGTTAGCCTCACGATGAACTTATGGATTTGTCTCTTTCAAAATTAACGCCAGATTTTGCTGGCTTTCTAAAGTTTATATAAAAGCAATATATTTACCATTTATTTCCCACCACTCCTCCCACATACTACACACACAAAAGTATATCAAGGCTATTACTCATTTTGTGAATAAAAAAAAAAAAGAATCCCACAGCATTTCTTTTTAATAACTGTTCAGCTACAAAATTTTATTGGTATCCTTTTATGTTCCCTCTAGAGGATGTAATGCACAAAAGCATTGCCACGGAACATATAAAATTACAAATGAAATTTATTGTAAAAAGTAGAATGTCTTCTAGACTGGTGTCAGTATTTATTTCATTCATAAACCAAAACTGCAAGTATAATATATTCATTGTCAGCAAGTTCAGGTGTGTAAATTGCCATCCAACGGTATTGACTGATATAAGACAGATATTGAAAAGACAATTTAAATTTACTCTTCCAAACATAAACTGTTCCACAAAAGCACTTTAAAAACTCCTTCAAGGTTTTGTGTTGTGCTTCACATTTTATGGTTAACTACATAATTTGGTTGTGTCATAATCCACTGTGTTTGGCAATTTGGCATTAAAGGCCTGCAAAGCGGATTGAATCCTTACCACCTCACTGGTAGACAGCTTGAGTCTATGACGGAGCAAGCAAGAGAAAAGGTCTAGACGACGTTGGCCAGGTGGGGAGAGTTTATTTACACGGTCCCTTATTTCTAATAGCTGCAAAAGTGCTGAGTCCTGCGATCCCTGAGTATAGGGGTAGTCCAGCTGTAAAATCAAGTCACGAATTGCTTCTGGGTCAAAGTGCATGCTGTAGCCAAACACTTGGATGTTGTTGATTTTCATGTAGCCCAGGTTCCGTGAGGGATCGATAAATTCCAGGGGTTCATAGTAGATGCTTTCATTGCCATTTGGACCATTTGACTTAATTCGACTCCTCAAATAGATATGAACTGTTTCAAAAAATGTCTTCCACTTGTTGCCTAGTGTCAGCGTCCAATTATAACACTGAAGGGGTAAGTCCAGCTTAGTCCGCTCCCAGTCTGGGAAATTATTTTCATTCACAGGCATAAACCAGCTCTCAGAGTGGCTGCCACCAAAAGGGTTGACATAAACAGCTAGAACAGGCTCCAAGGTGCTGTTTTTAGTTAGGCAAATTTGAAGAGAGAGACCCAGTATCATATGGACCAGGCTAGACTTGTACTTGTTGCTCTTAAGGGTAAGGAGCATCCGTTTGCGCCAGGAGGGATCAAACCAGCTATTGAGGCGCATGTCATTGCTGATGAAAATAGCATGGACTTCAATCCTCCGGTCTGTTTTCTGCAATAAATACTTCATCTCCAAGTCCTGGAGATCTGTCTCAAACCCAATGTAATGCTCTGTGGACTCTGCCACTTCCGGCTTGCAAAGCCCTTGGCTCAGCATGTATCCAGTGTTACAGCTTCCACAGCGGGTACGGTTATCAGGTGCACAGATCAAGCATGCAGAGCCATCACCTATAATGCACGGAAGGAACCCATGGCAGGCAACTTGGTCATTAGGACAAGTGCATGAATGAGTCTCTTCAGAAAAGCTTCCCAGAAGACCATTTTCATTGCAATACAGAAAAGACTGGATGCGGTTTAGCCAGTAGTTTGAAGATCTGTAAATTAAAAAAAAAAAAAAGTAAAAGAAAGCAGGAATCAGATCCCAATCAATATTTCCCTGTAATTTTTCCACTTTGAGAGAGAAAAAATATATGGTATTAATATTGAAATGTCAGTTCACAACACCTGGAATCATATAAATGAATAAATAATTTGCCTATATGATGAAAAATCACAAACAAATGTCACCATAAATTTACTGGCATAACAGACTGTTTGGTTTACACTTTCTTTTCATATGCATCATTCGGAAACCCTGTGTGTGTGCCTGTGTGTGTCTGTGGGTGGGTGGGTGTCTTTGGAAGCTTGCAACATATTTCTTGTTACAAGCTAGAATTCCCTTGATTTAGAGTGTAAGGTAGAAAGAGACCTGATTATTTGTCTGGAATATCAAACTGAAGAAACAATAAAATAAATACTTTGAAGGACTTCTAGCACTATAGTTTACCTGTTAAGCATGGATGAATATATTTCTCTTTCCTAAAAATGAACATGAAAGGTTGTATTATAAAATTCTTTTTGCAATAATATTTAGCCCTGACTGCAAGCAACAGTTAAAGTCCTAAATCATGTAGACAAAACAGACATTGAAATCAGCAGAATTGTTCAGTAAGGCATAGATGCCAGGAGAAAGACAGTGTGACCAAAAACAGAATCTGGAAACAAGACAGAGAGAAATGATCTTAAATGCTTTTTCTTTTTTTTTTTTTTTTTTTGTTTTTTTTTTGGTATTCTTCAGATGTCTGTGCTGGTCACACCAATACACTGCTTGAAGAACATGTTTTGGCTGCTACTATGTCAAATTCTATTGTTCTCATATTGATGAAGATGTTATAAACATCTTTCTTTTCAACACATTGTTTCAAACAGAAAATGCAAGAACTAGTATCTCAAGCTGACTTTAAAAGGTAGGTAAGATAGCACTGGTTTTTAGTTCAAGGATTCTGCAGTCAGGATATTAGTTTCTTTCTCTAACAATGAAATAAGCATCCACACATCAAATATATCAATTTAAATGCAGCAAAATCATATAATTCCGTAATTCTGCGCAGTAATACAGATGTTTCTCCATTGTGAAGCATTTATGATGTACGACACCGATCTAAATAAAGGAGAGACTGATGCATCAGTCCAGTAAAAGAGGCTGAGGCATGGAGAAGAATCCACTATGAGGCATCCAAACTACAACTTTCATAAGACATCATAATAAATTAATATTGAACTGACCCAAACTAAACATTTCAATCCCGTTTGACAACCCATTTTTTTGAGTCAAAATAGAAAGTTGAATAGTTTTTTTCCAAAATTGAAATGTTATCCAAAACAGTTCAACTGAAAAGTCTCAACTACCCCTGGTTATTACTGATTCAGAGTATATACAAGCTTGGATCTTTCAGAAAAGAGAACTGAATGAGGGAATTGGGTGGGAAATGGTTTTCCTGTCCTGGGGATGAAAAAAATGCCTTGAATCAGGGTAAAAATAAAACATCACTCTTTAGCTAAAAAAAAATCACTCCAAACATAATTTTGAAATATATTTCATTTTGAAATCTTGGAACAAAAATAAGCATTCTTAATATAGAATTTTATTTTTTAGGTGTCCAAATGAGACTTTTGACATGACTTTTCCAAATTATTTTTTAATGAGAAATTTTTTTAAACCAACTCTTTCCTTCGCACAGTTTTGGGATTAATTAACTGACATTTGCCAACTGAAAGACACACAGACACAAAATCAGCTCTACTTACAACCTTATATTGATAATGTCTAGTTTCTGCTGGATGGAGCTTCTGAAGTATGATTTAAGACCTCAAACCTAGGTAAAGTGAACTAATTTGATATTTGAACCAACTAACATTTTGACAATTTTAAAATTAGAGGTAACACATCAGTAAACCCCTTTATAGTATCTCAAATTAGAGTGTTTCTGAAATAGTTAATGCATCACCTCTCTATCTAATCAACATAGCTAACTTCAGTCTACATGTCTTGCCCAAGGCAGCAAACAAAATACATGACGATCCCTTGAAGCAAGGTTCTCTGATGTAGCTCCTGGCTAGAAACATTTTTAAATGACAACTGAAATTTAAAAGCATATTTTTTTACCAAGTGAGGACTGATTTCTATGGCAACTGAAATGAGTACTGCATCTTAAAATACACAGGCCCGGTTATTGGCAATTTTGTTTCTATTTTTGGAATGGTTTCCCACTTATACTTTTTAGATAAGGAAAAAGTCATATCCATGGTTACGATATGTTAACTGAAATGGAAACAATGGTGCATATCAGAAGCCAGCAACATTTGGGGGCAGAATGCCAAAAATACTTACAACCTCAAGTTGTAAGATGGTGTCCCACAGCTGGACATTAGGGGAGCCATGAGCGGCCCAATCCTTGTTGTGGCAGTGCAGCCCCGGCCCCTTCCCTACCATCTACCCCAAGGTGCATACGCACCTGCCAGCAGCAACAAGCTGGGCGGAGGCTCCTTGGACTTTGATGCAGCTGCTTGCAGCCTCCAGGCTGCCTGACACAGTTAGCCCAGGCTCTGGGAAGGACCCTGCCACCCACCACAGAGTCCAGGCTGCTTGCAGCAGTGGTGGGGAGGCTGCAAGCCACTACACCAGGGTCCACAGAGCCCCAACCTGACTCATTGCTGGAGGTGGGTGCTCACATGCCCTAAGGCAGATGGTGGGGAAAGGGCTGGGACTGCACTGCCACAACAAGGATCAGGCCCCTTATGGCTCCCCCACTGTCCACCCCATGGTAAGCATGTCAAGCAAATTTCCTTTGCCTGCCACGCTCTGGCATACATGCCAGGGGTTGCCTATCCCTGGTATACATATTTGTGTAGCCATTTACACTTAATACCACATAACTGAGATAAACCATCCTTATAAAAATTCTACCCTTGGAAAAATTGAAAGTCTCCAGTCAAACATCCCTCATTACATCTTTTTTCTACACCTTTATTCTTTTATATAAGAAATGATACTTAGTAGAATTCCAAAATCTGAGTGATATGAAACATGGAAATCTAAAGCTATTTATTTCTTTTGTGTCTTTAGGTTATACCATTTGCTTTTAATCTCAAAATAGTCATCCTGCCATGTTACTAGCAGTAAGAACTACATAATTAAAATGTCCAGGTTAAGTACTTCAAATAGATTCTTTTTGTCTGATCTGTAAATATGAATTCCTTCATTATCTAGTTCCAAGAAAAGTTCTGTTTCTCTGAAAAGTTTTGTTAGTAAAATATGAATCTGTTAACATGAAACAAATGTGAATTTGAGGCTCAGTGGGAGCTGGTTATCTGAAGAAATACAAAAAAGGTTCATTTTTATATTATAGAATATTCATAATAGAGGCTAAATCCTCTATGTGGCTTCATCAGAGTCTCACTTTCCTTCAGATACTTATTTTCTTTGCCTGTCATTTTGACAATGTCACTTTCTACTTGAAGCCCTCCAATGGATTCCCCTTTTTAATCACAATTTATTTAAGGATTTTTCCTCTTCACTGTTTCAGATAAGCCTTTCTTGGACTTCATAGTGCATCCCATCTTTGTACATTTCCAGCTCAACCAAAGATAATAGTGAAACTCCCTTTGACTTCAGTGGGGCCACTATCTAACACTTTTCACTCTAAGCTCTGAAGGTCACTTCCAGTAACAATGTCTTTCTAAGTTGTTCTGTTCCATTCAGGATTAATGCATTCTTACTGCTGGTTTCCAAAGTTTTAAGGTTTTTCTTCCCCTGTGTCTGTATTCTAGATCAGATTTTACTTCACATGTATGCCACACAGTATTTTGTTCCCCAAACAGTTCCTTTCTCATTAATTTGTGAGAAACTAGTTGCTAAATTAGATGCTACTTATTGTGAGTTGAAGTACCACAGTCAGGTGTTCTCTGTTTTGCACAGTCTGGCTTGGCACAGCTTAATAATTATATTGCTACTGTTATTATTATTATTATTAATAATAATAGTAATAACAACAATAATAAAGAAAACATGGTGAACTTAAACTACTGTTCACCAGGGCACCCTGGGGGAAAACTAGAAACAACGGCCACAAACTCCTGGAAGACAGTTTCAGGCTGAACATTAGGAAAAACTTCTTTACAACTAGGGTTGCCCAGACTATGGAACAAGCTCCCCATAGAGGTGGTGCAATCATCTTCAAGAGAAGACTGGATGGTCACCTGGCTGGGGGTGTCTGACCCCAGATGTCTTTCCTGCTTATGCAGAAGGCTGGACGCAATGATCCTTCGGGGTCCCTTCCAGCCCTATGATTCTATGATTATAACTTGGGTAGCACTGAAAGGATTCACTTTATGACACTGGAATTATTTCAATTGGAAAACACAGTTCTGAACTGTGATCTGTTTTTGCTTTTCAAGTACTAAAATCAGGTGATGTAGAACTACTTATTATTATCACCATCAGCAGCAAATCCTTGCCATCAAGGATAATTGTCTTCCATGATTGTCTAATCTGTGGGTCAAAAGATGGCTGGTGAAGCCTATCCAGGATCTGTTGCAGCTCAGGAACATGTTTCCATGTGGAGTGGGTGGCTCCAGGTTCTTGATTCAATCTGTGACACAGTTTTGCTGCTGCTGCTTTTCCATCTCCTATTGTCATCATAAGGTTTGAAAGTACTGAGATCCTTGAAGCAGCTTCTTCCTCCATTTGATAGTCTCCAATGAGTTGATGTTGCATTTTTTCAAGTTGGCCATAAAGATGTCTTTGAAGTGCTTTCTCTGCCCTCCTTTGGAGCTGGGAGAATAAAACTTGCTTTGGGAATCTGGAGATGGATATCCATACAATGTGGCCAGCCCAGTGAAGGTGATGTTGGGTGATCAACACCTTGATGATTGTGGTATTTGCTTGAGGGCAGATGGTAACAATGATGCTCCCAATGGATTTGAAAGATCTTCAGGTGGTGTTGATGGTACTTCTCCAGTGGCTTGAGATGTCTCTTGTACATTGTCCATGTCTCAGCTCTATACAATAAGGTGAGGATCATGACTGCTTAATAAGTCATGAGCTTAGTTCTGGATCTGATGTCACAATCTTCAAACACCCATTTCCTCAGGTATCCAAGACTATACTTGCACATTTGAAGGGATGTTGGATTTCTTCTTCAGTGTCAGCTTTCTGGAAGAGAAAGCTTTCAAGGTATGAGAAATGTTCAACATTCTCCAGAATCTTACTGTGAATCTGAATTAAGACCTGGGGACCCATAATTCAGATTCATTAAGAACTTGTTGATGAAGGACCATCATCTTCTGAATTTTAAGTCAGTCTCATTTTCTTATATGCCTCAGTAAAGATGTCAACAATAGCCTGAAGTTCTGCTTATGAGTTTGCACACACTACAGCAGCATCAGCATACTGGAGCTTGATGACTGAGGTCAGGGTGGTTTTGGTTTTGGCTTGGAGCCAGCTGAGATTGAACAGTTTACCATCCATTTTGTAGTTTAGATCCACTCCCAACTGGAAGCTTGTTGGTGGTCAGATGTAGCATTGTGGTAAGGAAGTGTTTGAGCAATGATGCAGCCTAGCTTAACTCCTATCTTAACCTCAAAGGAATCTGCAATAGATCCATTACTGAGAACCACCACTCATATACCATTATGGAGCAGGCAAAAACTGGTGATGAATTTGTGTGGGTATCTGTACTTCAGAAGGTTCTCCAGAGTGCTTCTCAGTTGATGGAGTTGAAGGCTTTCATGAGGTCAAAGATGGCTGGGGGCAGAGGTTTATTTTGTTCCTGACATTTTACCTGCAGCTGGCAAGCAGTGGATATCATGTCAGTTGTGCCTCTTTATGCCCTAAATCCATGCTGAGATTTTGGGAGCAGTTCTTCAGCAAGTGGAAGGGGACAGTTCAGGAAGGTTCTTGCAATGATCTTTCCTGTGGTGGACAGCAAGTTGATCTACTTATCTACTTCTACTTATGGACTGATTCACAGCCCACTGAAATGAGTGAAAATACTCCCCTTGACTTAGGGTTTTAGGTCAACTTTTGAATGTGTTTGAAGTCTCTATGTTCTGACCAGCACTGAAAAAACTGTAATTTGCATGAAAGATATTTATCGAATTCTAATCTTTAAAAAAGAACAAAATATCAGTTGATTAACATTTTTTAAAATTATATCAAGCATAATAGCTGGTTGCAAACTTTTTAACAAGACAGGTTTTTCATTGAAAAAGGGCAAATTCTTCAACCCAAAACTTTTCACATAAACATCCTTGAGAGAACAGGCCATTAAGAACTGCTGTGACAATATGGGCTTCATTAGTCTTTTGTGTGTAGCTCAATGACTGAGCTATTTCTACTTTAAGGTATTAGTCTCCATTTTTATCTTTGTACAAAAAAATTGCCAAAAAGTCTCTGTTTCATTCCAGTGCAGAGTGAAGATCAGTAGTAGAACTATAGGTGGGCAAGCTGGGCAGGAGCCCCAGGGACTGCCAAGGCAGGGCAGGTGCTTCACCTTTTCATTCCTCTACTGTACCATGTACTTGCAGGGATTCTGGCAGGTAGGTACAGTGCTGGGTGTGAGATGGGTAGGGAGGGCAGAGCAGCAACTCTGTGCTTGGCACTTACTGGCGGTTCTCTGCTAGAGGAAACTGCCATTGAAGGGAGAAGTATTGATTAACCCTTCCCATCCCTTTTATTTGGTTCAGAATTTTGGCTTTTAAATTGTTGCTTAAGATGTATTTCTGTAATGGCTTCTCTGTTAACTTATGCAGTGACAGGTTTCCCCATTAAGCCTGTACAGGCCACTGCCCATTCCCCATGCACCACCTTGCAGCACTGCCCAGTTATGCCTCTGAGGAAGACAAATCCCAAAACTAGGAAATTATTCATTAATTGGAAGTCCTGTTTTCTGACCAGTTCATATGAACATTCAGATATATTCTCTCCATTCATTTGTAATTATTAGAAAGACTATAAAGTTATGCTTCATTATATAAAATATTATTATTCCGCAAATCCTCTCAAATGCTTACTTTGCTTGTAACAAACTGTGTTCTTGGTGTTTCTTTATGGAAAGTACATCTCTGAAGCATTTATCTATGAGAAATGGCTTGCTCTTATACATAACTTCTGAATTTTCACCTCCCTCCTTTTACATTTATTTTAGTAAGTTTTACTGCCTCAGAAAAGTAACATATTCTCAGCTTTGTGGATTTAAATCCTCTCAGTGAAAGAGGTACAAATTGGTACAACATTGTATGCTTTCTGATGCTGTTCCATTAATGTGGTTTCTGAAATAAGCATTTCTATGGATGAAAAGAACTTGTGGTCAGAGTGCCCCCATCTGTAAGGAGAAAAAAAACAAGGATTTTAAGTAGAAGCAAAGTTTCAGCCATGAAATCTATCCAGTCCCTAGTATGATTATTGGCCTAACAGCAGGAGACAGAAAGCTGCCTGCATACAGACTTTGTGCCTCTATGCAGGCTCTGAGTTTCTTTCCTTCTGAAACGCAACACGCTTTACTTCTGCCCTCAGAAATTACTACAGAGTTTGGTGGATTGCAGGACTCCTGCAGTGCAGAAAAGGCTCTCTTATTTTTTAGGCTTATCTACTGGTGCTGTAGGCAAGGGGACAATATGCATTAGGTTAATTCTTATCCCTCACCATGTGCAGCAGTCCTGATCTGTCCTCTATAGAGCCCAGGAGGAGAAGGAAATTGCTGTAGATTAGCTGTGGAAGAGACCTTCTGTGTATAAATACTGGGGAGAAAGTCTCATGAAAATAAGCAAAAAGCATGATTTAAAAAAAATATATGGCTCAGTTTAATAGCATTTAGTAATCAAGATGCTTTTGAAAACTCTGCTTTCACTTTATCTTCATCTTACAAAAAACAACGTATATATTTGCACTGTGTAACTCTCATGTTATTGCAGTACAGAGATCAAATACACAGGTCCTGATAATCTTAAATACATTTTTAATTGCAATGTCTTTACTTAGGTTACATAACAAAATAAGAATTATAAACCTTGGCAAAGATTTGAAGAATAATAGTGTGCCATTCTACACTTTTCTTAGTCCTGTCTAATGGGTTAAATATTAGCAGTCTCTAAAATAATGCACATTTATTCTATGTCACAATGATTCTGTAGAGAGAAAAATACATGTTTAGACTGCTTTTATTCGTTAGACAGAAGATCAATGTAAATATCTGCATCTCACCCTCAATTTTAGGTACTACACTAAAAACTGCTGGACTTGATTTCCAGGGAAGTCAAACAACATTTTTTCTGATGCAAGGATGGTTCCTCCCAAGGAATGCTTGAAAAGCCACCTCCCTTAAGGACTTCAGTAAAACAACTTTATATTAGTGCATAAGCTAAGCGGAGTTTTGCTGATAGAGGCAAAGCAAGGGATGAATTAAATTTCTGGGCACAATTCAAAGTGTCAATTTTGACCTGTGAGAGGCTCAGCTGTTTGGGTCCTATAAACCTAAAGGACTATTCTATCACCAGCCCTAAAGTCAGTTGAGAGCAACTTCCTCTAGATGCAATTTGTGCACAAAATTTGTTTGGAGAGGTTGTTCTCTAATTGCTATGCAGCTTTGGAACTCCCTCCCTCTTGTGGTTCATCTGAGCCAGAACATCTTCTGAAAGCACTGTAATCCTTTTTATTTATTTATTTGTTTATTTTTATTTAACTAGAGCAGGCCTTCAGCTGAAAGAGGTAAATTGGGTAGCATTGTCTGGGGAGTCTGTTGTTATTTTACATTTTTTTAAAATCTATTTTTATAATTTATCTGCTTTATATTGCAAAGCACCCTGAGCCTCCTTAGGGGGAGGAAGGATATAAATCTACCAAATAAATAATAGGTAATTCTACTTGCCTAAACACTTTCCTAATATGTGCCACTCACCTTTTATGATGCTTTGGCTGCAGTTTACCACCACACTCAATTTCAGTTCAACATAACATTGCTAAAAGTCTTTAGGCAGTGGGCTGCAGTACTTTTAACCAACAGGACCATATTGTGTGAGCTATAAAGAGCTAAGTGAGAAAATCCTCACCTCGTATAAAATGGAACAACTCTATTGAAATCAATGGACACCATTTAAATCAGTCAATTGTGATCATGTCCAAGTAGTCTTAATATTTGTTACTCTTACTGAGGTATCTATTAACTGTTTCTGTTATCATCCTGAGTGACAATGTAGAATTATTTAGTGTAAATTGATTACACTGCACACATTGTAAATGTATTCTTAATAATTCATATTCTTCATGTGGCTTTTAAAATTTGCAACTTTTCCCATCTCTCTATAACAGCACACACATCAACAGAAAATAACTTGGAACCATTATAAATTAGGTATCAATGCTTGTCCAATACAAAATAATATTAAACATAAAACTAGAATTGAATGGTCTCCCTATGTAATAGCTGTAGCAGGTATTTAATCATAATGCAACAACTCTACCTCCCTCTCTGCTCCACTAAGTGCTCAACATCTGTTCTATATCAGCAGGTTCAATGGCAGATGATGAACACTCAATGAAGCAGCTGCTGAGTAAAAAACAGAGACAATTTAACAACAAATGTATGGATACTAAAACATCCATTGCCTATTTTTTTTCTTTCTTTTTTTTTCTGGAGACTGTGGAGTCCTGTATAAATTGTCAGAACAGGAACAGCTAAGGCAATTGCCCTACATCCTTTTCTAAACTGTTCAAAACCTGATCTGATGGAGTTTCCTCCACAGAGCAAGAGCAAAGTAAGTGTTGCTTGCTTCTGTGATAAGACTGCCAGCAGACATTAATTGGTACTAAATTGGATAACAGTCTTCATGTGTGGCTCCTTGTCTTCTAAGACCTAGAATGAGACCACCAAGTTATGCTAAACAAGCCAAAAAGGGGTCAAGCAGATGGTAATAATTTAGAGCCTGGTTTACTGAAATTAACTGGCAAAATTAAGAGAATGCCTTCTCTACAGTCATTGTGTGCTTGCAGCTTGTGTACATGTAATGGAACAAGCTTGAAACTACTTAGTTCAAATACTGCTATTGCTTTAGCACACATAGAATTGTGTCTGCTGCAGAATGTACCTAAGTAGTACTCAGGTGGTGGTCTAGCCCACTCTGGTCACAATACTACTGCAGTTGAATTATTAGAGTACTTAAAACTAACTAATTTAAATGTAGCCTGGGTATTGATGAAAAATGGGAAGAGATGATTGCTTTTTTTGTAAATTCATCATAGGGTATAGCCCTAGAAAGTATTCGGTTAAAAATGCAGGCATAAGAACTGAAATATGTATTTGACCCTGACAGAAATTACACTAGAAATTAGGAGGTGTCTAATCAGCACAAGACTGAATTTCTAGAACAGCCTTTCAAGAACAGTAGCAGGGGAAAATATGAAACTAGTTCTAAGCTGGTTATCCGTGCTGTTATGAGGCATGTGGTGTTTGGGCAGTTTCTTGCTCTCTGTTGTTCTCAGTGTTCAGACTGCTTGTACCTGTGTACTCTAGGAGGCTGCTGCCTGCAAGCAACCTTCTGGAGCTTAGGTCTGATACAGAAAAAATACTCAAATTTGTGTTATAGTGGCAGAAGCTTAGAGAAGTTTATTGTCACTTGGACAGTACACCAGCTGGTCTATTTAACAATTAGCCCAAATAAGGGCCTTGTTACATGTTGCACTTTGAGCTGATCAAACACTGATCCTTGTTAGTGCTAGCTTGAGTTTGGAGCAGTTATACCTTAAGACTAAAAACCTTCTCCGACTGTCCCCCACCTGTACAACTGTGACTTGCAACTAGAGGGCTGGTGACCAGGGCCCTGACTAGGCTACAGCTGTGAGTTGCCACCACAGGGCTGGGGATCCAGGATGGACTTCTACTGCTGCTCTAGGTTGGGGTGTATGAAAGATGGGTTGTGGCATGGGTAGATGAAACATGAAGCTGGGAGGCAGAGAGCTAATGACACTGGGATGGGTAATGAAATGGGGGTGGAAAGGAAATGGGGTTGGGGGAAGGGTGGTGAAATGAAGGAAGTCAGCCACTAAAAGACAAAATAAAGAATAAAAAAAAGAAGAAAAGAAAGTAAATTACAGAAGGTCTCATGTTTTAACAATTTAGGATTTGGGTTTGGGGTATGCAGGTGCTGGTCCTGCTTCCTGGAGTGGCTGGGAGGTGGGAGTAGTGAGGGAAGGGATGTTTTTGGAGGACTCACTGCCTTATCCCGTGGAAGTAAACTCCAGCTCATGGAGACCATGTCCTGCCCTCTGTCTTGTTCCCCCCACCCCTAATCCCCAAAGACCCCATTCCTGGATCTATCCATGTCCTGTGACCTTGATAGATAGCATGTACTCTTTAAACTGTTTGTATGAAGTTGCACTCCTGGGGATGGGAAGGTCACACCTCTGGGGGCAGGAAGAGGAGATGGCTTGGTGCCAGAATTACCCCCTGGGCACTAGATTTCAGGGAATAGAAAGTTTGTCCATACAGAGCAGGAGTGACAGAGAGACCACTGTATTCTGAGATGCTGGAGGACTATAACTTGGGTGGCTCATCTGTGAGGAGTGGCCACATACCACGAGCTGGATGACATGGGTCAGAGATAAAATGCCCCCGGAGTAGCCTAAATTTAAATCAACTAAAGTTGCTTGAAACTAGTTTCAGGTATTTAATGTATGGGCAAACCAGGGGTTAAGAGTTGCTGGAGCCACCCAAAATGCATGTGTAACAAGCCTTTCAGTGAAACTTGCCTGAGACAGGTAGTGACACAGTACCTCAATTATGGTCCCAAAGGTTGCTACAGAAAACAAGTCTGGTAGCCTCTGTAGTTGTACCCCAAATGCCCTAGACACATGCTAGTGTTTATCTATCTCACTAGATGTCCATATCTATCGATGTCCATTTCTACTTGTTTCTCTGTCAAGTTTGCACACCTGAATGTTTAGTTCTTTTTACCTCTGCCTCATTAGTGGGGTTTACTTTTTACATTACTTCTTGCATTATCCAGCTACTGCTTTTGCTATTATCTTCTTTGAATCAGCTTCTTTGATCATTGGTGTGTTTTTATTTTTTACCTTTCTTATCAGATCATTAAGCAGTCAGTAAGGTCTATACTTCCCAAGCTCCTTTACAAACTTTAGTTTATAGCTCAGCATAACTATGGCATAGCAAACTTCAAAGTCTCACCGTTTGTTATGGCTTAGAGACTAGTTATATGACATGGACCCATTCACTCCTTTTTACTCCTATGACTATTATTATTATTATTATTATTATTATTATTAATAATAATAATAATAATAATAATAATAATAATATGCATGGAATTTGCATTAAGAGAGAAGAAGAAGACCATTATCAGTCCTCTAGGCTATTAAAGCCATACATGTCACACCACTTTATTCTAAAACTGATGGAATGCTCCTATTTCAAATGAAAATCTAGCATTCTGATTAGCAATGCACTAATGATACTCAGTGGATCTGATAAATATCTTCTAATGCAATCAAGGTATTTAATCAGAAACTAACTAAATATTCATCATATATTTCAGAAGTGAAAAAGTGTGTACAAATTACTAACAGAAGCCTTGCTCATTGTTCTCATGGAAGTATTTCTAAGGAATAGCTAGTAGTCCATTTGCAAAGGTGATTCCCATTGCAAAACTGTATGCAGAGAGGACCCTTTGAACTGATAGATATTCCAGGAAACACCAGATCTGGCCTTGTTCAAAGTTTGAGGTCCCCAGAACTGATAAAACACAGAGATTCAGAAGAGAAGCACTAGAGTAAGACATGGCTGGGCTGCAAATTAAGCTTGCAAAGTAGAAGGGAGATGATACAAGGGATTAGACTGTGGCATATGGGAACTAGATATGAAGCAAGACACAGAGGAGCTAGCTATTTCTAAGACTATTTTCAAGTGTCTATACTTGTGCTTTCTTATCTTTTCCTTAACGTTTTTTATTTTATTTACCACTATCCTAATTCCTCACTGTCTCTCACAGATACCAAGTTCTCATACTACTATTCTATAGCCTCTGTTCTTCACCTATCATTTTGTCC